TTCGATGTTACTCTACGAAATTACAATAGGTCAAATGTTTAATGTGTGTCTGAATATTAACGAGAATCGGTAATAAAATTATTATAAATTCAGTAATTCCTGTTCCCCGGCTCTAATGACGTTTGAGTTTCTCCCAGTATCTCGGTTTTCCCCGCCCCTATCATTTAAAATTAAACTACATAGAAGCTAATCTAGCCGCTGAAACTACAAATCAAACCTACGACTAAATTTTCTCGATAAATGACGAGAAAATCAACCATGAAAGGAAAGCGACGAATTTTTTGTTCCTAAAATTGCAATATTTTCTCAATTTTAAGTATATTTAAGTATAACCCAGGCGAAACAAATGATAAATTTATTACTTCTCAATAATTTCTATCCAGTGATGTCATACCGACGAGTTTGAAAGGAAAGCGACGAATTGTATACGGTTTGGTCACTCTTTATGGTCCGCAATTAACTGCCAGCGCAAGGGGTTAACCTCTTGACGTGAAGAATTTTTGTCCCCAAAATTGGAATATTTTCTCGGTTTTAAGTATATTTAAGTAAAACAAAATAGGCAAAGTAAATAATAAATTTATTACTTCTCAATAATTACTATCCAGTGATATCATACCGCCGAGTTCAAAAGAAAAAGAAAGCAACGAATTATTGTATACGGTTTGGTCCGCAATCAGCTGCCAGCGCAAGAGGTTAACCTCTTGACGTGAAGAATTTTTGTCCCCAAAATTGGAATATTTTCTCAGTTTTAAGTACATTTAAGTAAAACAAAATAGGCAAAGTAAATAATAAATTTATTACTTCTCAATAATTACTATCCAGTGATATCATACCGCCGAGTTCAAAAGAAAAAGAAAGCAACGAATTATTGTATACGGTTTGGTCCGCAATCAGCTGCCAGCGCAAGAGGTTAACCTCTTGACGTGAAGAATTTTTGTCCCCAAAATTGGAATATTTTCTCAGTTTTAAGTACATTTAAGTAAAACAAAATAGGCAAAGTAAATAATAAATTTATTACTTCTCAATAATTACTATCCAGTGATATCATACCGCCGAGTTCAAAAGAAAAAGAAAGTAACGAATTATTGTATACGGTTTGGTCACTCGTTATGGTCCGCAATCAGCTGCCAGCGCAAGAGGTTAACCTCTTGACGTGCCGCGCACGTCGAGAATTTTTTGTTCCCAAAATTGCAATATTTTCTCAGTTTTAAGTATACTTAAGTATAATCCAGACGAAACAAATGATAAATTTATTACTTCTCGATAATTTCTATCCAGTGATGTCGTACCGACGAGTTCAAAAGGAAAGCGACGAATTATATACGGTTGGGTCACTCGTTATGGTCCGCAATCGGTTGTCAGCGCAAGTGGTTAAATTGCAGGGTAAAAGTTTTTACAAACTGGCAACAGCCTCTGATTTCAATGATACTGAAACGTATTATCATCATCCTGAGAGTAGTATCGTGAAAGTTTTACTCGACGGTTGTTTTTTCCAAAAAGTTGTTAACAAGAAAAGTATTTCTGAAATAGTCTATTGAATTTGTATATTTATATTTTCACTTAACAGATAGTTTTGTAAAACATGTTTCATATTTCACATTTTTTATATTCTGCAGACACTATGTAACTGATCACTCTTAGATGTGTAGATCACCAGCATTTGCATTTGTAAAAAGAAGAAAGGTATCAGAATATTGAAAAATCGACGAGAGAACTGGTCAAATCTACCTAAACCATTTTTACTTGCAACTTTTTAACAAATGGCGATCGTCGAATGAAACTTTTATGATACTGTTCGTGGTGATAATCTTGATTACATATTTCAAGGTCATTGATCTTTTTATCAATTATAGAATGGGATTCAATATGGAAAAATGCACAATAATACATATTAATTAGATTTTAGTGCATTATGAATATTTCAGTTAATGTTAGCGATCCAAAAGTATATAAAGTAGAATCGACCAAATATTTGGACATCAGGTTTCATAATACTTATTTTCACATTGGCGAAAAAGCATGTGAATAAGGATTTAATCAAATTTACTGATATTTTCGAATTAAACAGGACTGGTTATTATATTATTATTATTATTCTATTATATTATTATATTATTATTATTCTATTATATTATTGTATTATTATTATTATTCTATTATATTATTATTATTTTATTATATTATTTTATATATATTATTATATTATTATTATTATTATTCGATAAACTCATTTTCTGCGATGAAGTTTCGATTCAAAGATACGAAGTATGCATTCGATGGTAAAACACTTTCTAAATAACTATGAAAATACGAAAACTATGCGTCGCCGAAAATATAACGGAGGACAGACAAAACGCAATATGCCACGTGTCTCGGCTGGCTTCTGCTTGAAAAATAACTTCAAAAACAGAACGACGAAAACTAATATTTGAAAATTTAATTTCTAATTACGATGGAATTTTTTGATGCTTCAATCTCCGTAATTGCAATATAGAAACAAAATTTGGAATGTTTGACGGAGATCTTTAAAATACAAAACTGAACATGTGAAATATAAAAGTTTTTAAACTTTCAACTTTAAGGTTGAACATATAAAAAGTTATGCTTATTACTGCGTATTACTATGTTGCGTTTGTGTTCTCCTTAAAATTTAAAGAATTTTCTCGGATTAAAAGACATAATTTGGTCGAAAATGAGTCAAAGAATGCAGAGTCATGCTGAATGTGAGATACATTGAGTAATTCGATATCTAAAATAGACATGAGCGTGGAATATTCAGTGTAGCAACTAATTTCACTATGTCACACGATTTGATTAGTTCGAAAATAAATTCTATACTTTCAAATACTATTGCATGATTAACGTTACTTATTATGAACGAGTTTTCACCACTGTAATTATTATTTTAATTCGGGTCATTAATGATATTTATATTTTAATTCCAACTGTAATAATTATAATTTAAATCTTTTCAGTCAGTTAAGAATATAATGAAAAAAACATTCCTGCAAGAAAAACATTTATTAATAAAATAAACAAAAAAAAAACCGTCACGCGAAGTAAAATTTCGCTTACATTTAAAAAAATACTTTATCGCGTTCTCTCGATGTTTTATTTTTCTGTCCTCGAAAAGAGTCTTTGTCGATGCGCGCGACTTTTTGTTCAATTTTATTTGCCCTGAAGCGTAAAAATAAAAATAAAAATGAAAATTCGAGAGTTAAACGGCACTGTGATCACTCGAAGCCGTGATTCGTGGTTATCACGTGCAAATTGTCGGTTATAACGCGATGCTTTCGAAAGTTATGCTCTTTTAAGTTCCTCGATTAGGTAGATTTACGGAGAGGCGGAAGACCATCAGGACTTCGTTCGTTCGTCGATTTTCTGGCAGATTGCCCTCGATCAGGCCATCCTGGCGCGAAACGAAAGTCACTCGACGGTAAATTATGTCCTTTGGCACCAGCCTCGGTGTATTTCGGAGCAGACCACACGATCGTTTTAAACGGCCTTTAGGGAAACCGTGGGAGGCTTTTAGCTGGCGTCTCGTTCTCCGTCTCGCGCGAAACTTAACGTTTGTGCGACGTGATCTCTTTCGATTCGGCATACGGTTTCAATAGGCCGACGTGGAAACTCGATTAAAAAAAAAAAAAAAAAAAAAAAAAAAAAACGAAAGGTGTCGATGACCTTCTTAGAAAACGACTGCCTGATTTAGAATAGAGGGGCACATGGAGAACAGAAATAGTACGTACACTGTTTAAATTTCATCCAGTATCGTGCAATTTGTCTTGAATTGTATGTTTTTTTTTTTTTATTTTTAATTTTCGTCCATCTCTTTCGAGTCAATTCGACACATTTTTTTTTATGAAATATATAAGATCACAGTGTACAATAAAATTGAACATCTATGTGCAGATATTTATGCGCAAGTAACTCGAAATTTAATTCATTTGCTATTAATTCATTTGCTGTTAATAAAAAGATTTACGAGATTAACTTGCATCGTAGATATTAATTGTCAATTCGATACAGAAACAAATTATTAAACTGCGAAAATGCAATCTTTTCTTCACTGCTATTTCTTTTACACTGAATTTACGGTTTTATGAAATTTTGAGAGAATTTAAACTTATTATACATAAAGTAGGAAATGTTTCATGCCTTTGATATTCATACATATGAAGTTTATAAAGTGTCCATTGGATATATTTTCTATTCTGACGATATTATATGAATTACTTTATCAATGTCACATGTATAAAATTTTTTATATTGTTCCAATATTCGATCCACGAATAAAATAATTGATCAGTTTTCAGATTTTTGTAATATATTGCAACAATATTTCATCGAATATTTTATAAACTTTTATACAAATCAAGAAAAAACGAAATAATTCACAGAGTAAAGGCAATTCATCTCAGCTCGATTATTTTCAAATTTTTATAATATTGTATTAATCTGTTAGATGATATAATATTTAAAAACAGTATTATGTCTAATTATAATTACAAAATAATCCATGTTTAATATTGTTATTAGTCTATTTATTTTTTTGTAATTATAATTAGACGTAATACTGTTTTTAAATTTTAGACATAATACTGCTTTTAAATATATATATAACAGTTTATTATGTTTATAACTAAACTGTTAGATGATATATATATATAATTATCCAACATTTTATTATGTTTATAACTAAACTGTTAGATGATATATATATATATATAATTATCCAAGAGTTTATTATGTTTATAACTAAACTGTTAGATGATATATATATATGTATATATATATATATATATATATAATTATCCAAGAGTTTATTATGTTTATAACTAAACTGTTAGATGATATACATAATTATCTGACAGTCTATAAAAGCTCGATGGTTTACAGATTGAAGCAAAGAAATAATTTATGACACAGCAACGAAATATTCTACATAATTAATATAATTTCAAATTTAATTGCAAGACACTGAAGAAGCTTTCTGCTTTCAGATATCGGCAAACAAGATTCAGCTCACGAAGGATACGTAAAAGGGTGGTTTTCAAGCACGGCGATTGCAATGTCGTGCAAGGAAATGTCGCCAAGAGACGTCGCCGTTACCTTCAGGTAATTTTAAAGTATTTCTAGAAGAGTCCGCTTGCGGCAGCCTGTTACGATCTGAATGAAGGCGATTTCACGAATTTCCACCAACGATAGCTTAACAATCACTTAACAACAAGTTTCGCGATTTCTTTTCGTACGAAATTTGTTCGAAATCGTCGTTTCACTCAACACAGAAAGATGAACTTGATTTGTCTCGGTCTATTTTTCGAGTGCAATTACTTGCCAAATTGTCTTGCTATATTCCGATTCTCTAGAAACGTTTATTTTTCGAACGTGTTAAAATTAGCACAATTGTTACACTTTCCTCGATTCTCCTAGCGATCCTTCTATAATACGTTCGAATTTATAATTATTTATTTATTAAAAATTTTTTTTAATTTTTTAAAATTTATTAAAATTTGAAATTTACAATTTTTTGAAATTTAAAAAATTTTTTTAAAATTTTTTAAAATTTATTAAAATTTATTTATTAAAAATTAAGTTGGTGCATGTGAAATTTCCTTTTTCCTTCACTGTCACACTACGAAAGTAATTTTTTTCATCATTCGATGCACTTTTTAAATAATTTTATTATACTAAAGCTGATTAGTTTTATTATTCTAGATTTATGTGAATTTTCAATTTTGATGTTAAATTCTTTCCTCTCCTTTTTTCTTCTTAAAGAAAAGTTTTTCTTGTTTCTTTTATGTGCTAAAAAATTGTTCGAATGAGTTTGTAAACATGTTTGAATTTATATAGAATGAATCAAAATTTCGGGAGAATATGAGAGATAAACTAAGAAAAAGAAAAGAAAAACGTTTTTGTTTTTCCATTTATTCAGAAAGTTTATTCGATGTCAATCAACTCAAGAGAGATCAAACTGCAGCTGAAATGCATCAAATCTAGCTGCAATCAATGCGAGCAGTGTTTGATGTAATAACAATGATGATGTGCTGTTGCAAGAGGCCAGAATTTTAAACAATATCTTCATTAAATAAATTATATAGACGATAATAGATGATTTTCTTCAAAACGAAGCAAAAAGAAGCAAATATTTAAAAAATTGTTCTCTTTCTAGTTTATTAATGCTCGATACGCTCCCTAAGTATTGGTATTTACATTAAGGACACACTCTGTATGTTACATATTTATATTATGTTTATTATTATTAAATATTATTAATATTTATATTTACATTTATAAATAATATTTGTATACTTCTATTGAATATCTTGTAATGTTTATATATATTTTTAGATTTGTTTCAAATTTGATCAATATAATTATGACAATTGGTCTTCACTGTAGTGTTAACAAAATATTATACATAACACACAAAAATCAGGATGCTTCCAAAAGTATAACCGAAGAAAAGACAAATACTCCATGTAAAAAAATAAGTTGAAAATAAAGAATAAAGGTTTTTTTTATCTAAGATTTTGTATACTTGAATTTTAGAAAATTTTAGAAAGAAAATAATAATTAACAAAAAGTTATTCTATATGTGAAAAATGTAAAATAAAATTTTTTTTTATTCTGTATATGCTTCCTTTTTGGGGAAAATCGAATTTGAATTCTTGAAAAATGAAAAAAATATTATTCCACACTTTTAATTTATTTTTCCCGCGTAGAATAATCTCCTGTTAATTATTCATTTCTATCCAGAATTAATAAACGCGATAAATTTTCAAACTTTGTTCTTTATTTTCGATTTATCTTTTTATGTAGTATCATCCCTTTTCTTCCACAATTGAATCAGAAACATCTTGTTTATTTATAAAAAAAGGTCAAACAAGCATTCGAATACTTTCTTGAATGGCTACACCTCAAAAAAATTCATATTTAGGTAAATTTCTTGTTTAGAGGCTTTCCCTAATTTTGGCTGTTTCTGCCTATTATAAATAAAAAAAAAAAACAAACAATAAGAATTACTTAATTTTTCCGGCCTCTTGGTTTCTTGGTTTTAGTGACAAAATGAATCTGTTGTTAAAGAAACGGAATAACCAAAATTTGGAAAAACCGCTGACCATATCTGCGTCGTCGTTACGGTCGTACATAATCTCATAATATGCGTGCACTGTCTTCAGGATATTTTCACGACGCTGGTGGACGCACAATGGCGCTGGACTCTCCTGGTGTTCTCGATGAACTTCCTGCTCTCATGGCTAGGATTCGCCTTGATATGGTGGTTGATCGCGTACAGCCACGGCGATCTCGATCCGGAAAGTTACAACAATTCAAACTTGACGTTCACGCCGTGTATCATGAACATTCGCGGATTCACCAGCTCGTTTCTATTTTCCATCGAGACCCAGCACACGATCGGGTGACTACTGATTATCTTCTAGTTGTCATCGAGTCATCAATCTATGTCGGATCAGTGATTCGAACGAATTTCAGACGCTATTAACAACACGGCCGCTTTGGAAGAACTATATCCCTCCCCCCCCCCCTTGATTAATTACTTGAGTTAACTACTCGTGCGATAACGTTGAGCCTCGCTGCCGATCGTCGGTAATTTTCTTAGTGATATAACGAACGAGAGGAGAATAGGGAACACGTCGAACTCATGGACACTGTTCGGTTATCGTGCATGTTATTTAAAAAATCGTATATACGATGTATTCGTAGCTTTCACAAGGTATAACAGCGGTGTACATTGTCCTTCCAAGCATTCCGACTGACGGAGTTGAAGAACTCTGACCTAGAGCGACGTTGAAGAATTTAATCTTAATAATCTTTGGTCACACGTCGATGTTGTGGTACCACTTCGTCGAGAGATCGCTGCTTGAATCGGCTAGAGATCACGAGTTTATATACAGATGAAGTGAATGTATTGCACATTATTAGCGAAGTAGCGAATTTATTCACGAACGAGAGATGAGAAGTCCCAAAAATGTTAAAAAACCCTCGAATCCCAAGACTTAACTCTCAATATTTCAAAAGTCGCGAAATTTTAAGTTTCCAGGTTTCTTTTCGAAATCTACGATCTAAACAAAGAATCTAAACGAGCTTAGGGTTAGTTTTAGCGATTTAAGGATCTTGAAGAGGATTTAGATTACTGCGATTCGATCATTTGGGATCATAAATCGCGCGAAGATCCTATTCTATTCACCTGGAATTTGCTCATCTTAGATTCCTCGAACTTCAAAGATTAGGCCAAACGAGTGATCAATATTCAAAAATTCAAATGACACGATGATAATCCTACGATCTCTTGATAACTCTGAAGTTGTGCCACGTAATCTTCAATCGTATCCATGGCCATCCTTAACCCCTTACGCTGGCAACTGGGTCGCGGACCATAACGAGTGACCGAACCGTATACAATAATTCGTCGCTTTCTATTTCTTTTTGAACTCACGTCGGTATGATATCACTGGATAGAAATTATTAAGAAGTAATAGAACTTATCTATTTGTTTTTCCTGGGTTACATTGACAATATTTACTTAAAACTGTTGCAATTTGGGACAAAAAGTTCTCGACGTGCGTGGCACGTCGTTCCAGCGCAAGTGGTTAAGATTCTTAACCGGGCTTCCTAAATTTTAATTTAACGCAACTTTCAAAAATGTAATTGAAAAATGTTTATATATCTTTAAATTGGTAATTATGTTTGGTCTATATTATGCGAAGAAAGAGATCTCAGCTCCAATGTCTTTGATTGACATGCACTTTATTCGAGGACCGTGACTAATGAAAAGAATATTGTATTTGCTATGCTATACTTGGTTCAATATAAATAGTTCCTTTTGTTATTGACCTTGCTTGGAAGATCGAGTCAACGTTTATATTTTGTTAAAAATATTTCTAAATAATTTTAATAGTAAACATTTTAAATAAAAATATGAACAATAATATTTTAAATAATAATTAATAATTGAATATTTTAAATAAAAATATGAACAATAGTATTTTAAATAATAATTAATAATTAAATATTTTAAATAAAAATATAAACAATAATATTTTAAATAATAATTAATAATTAAGTATTTTAAGCAAAAATTGTATTTGCTATACTATACTTGGTCCAATATAAATAGTTCCTTTTGTTATTGATCTTGCTTGGAAGATCGAGTCAACGTTTATATTTTTTTAAAAATATTTCTAAATTACTACTAAATAATTTTAAATTAATTAAATTAATAATTAATAATTAAACATTTTAAACAATAATTAATAATTAAATATTTTAAATAAAAATATGAACAATAGTATTTTAAATAATAATTAATAATTAAATATTTTAAATAAAAATATAAACAATAATATTTTAAATAATAATTAATAATTAAGTATTTTAAGCAAAAATTGTATTTGCTATACTATACTTGGTCCAATATAAATAGTTCCTTTCGTTATTGACTTTGTTTGGAAGATCGAGTCAACGTTTATATTTTTTTAAAAATATTTCTAAATTACTACTAAATAATTTTAAATTAATTAAATTAATAATTAATAATTAAACATTCTAAACAAAAATATAAAGAATTATATTTTAAATAATAATTAATAACTAAATATTTTAAATAAAAATATAAACAATAATATTAAATATTTTTATTAAAATATAACAATTAATAATTAAATATTTTAAACAAAAATATAAAGAATAATATTTTAAATAATAATTAATTATTAAATATTTTAAACAAAAATATAAATAATTATATTTTAAATAATAATTAAATTAATTAAATAATTTCTCTAAATTACTCGATCAAAGTGAAATTTACAACTTTTCAATAGAGATCGTATAAATACACGTGCAATTTTATTTAAATGTAAATTTTTGTCATAACTTTTAAGCTACGATCGTTCAGGCGAAATGCACATTATTCAAAACTCTTCTTTCTAGAACAGTATTCCAAGATCAAGGTCGTTGGAGTTTGAGTCTCGTTCCTTCAGATAATTCTCTTCAAATTCAATTACGCCGGTGTCATTTTTCTGCAACTCCATTCTTCCGACCATTTCAGTATGATACAGTTCTAACGATGATGAATAAATAATTGTAGATACGGGTCGAAATACCCAACAGACGAATGTCCAGAGGCAGTGTTTGTGATGTGTATCCAGTCGATGACAGGTGTGATCCTGCAGGCCTTTATGGTTGGCATAGTGTTCGCGAAACTCTCCCGACCGAAGAAAAGAACGCAGACGTTGCTGTTCTCAAGGAATGCTGTGATTTGTCAGAGAGATGGCCAGCCCTGTCTGATGTTCCGTGTCGGTGACATGAGGAAGAGTCATATCATCGAGGCTCACGTTCGAGCGCAAATGATCAAAAGGAAGGTGAGATCTCTCATTTGAGATTGGCTTTCTAAAACGTGTAATGTAACATTGGATGATCCGTTTGACCCTTGGTTAGTACATTTACCAACAAATGATCGAAGGAGAGATGAGAAAGGTCTCTGTTTCCTTGAGATTGACTATCTAAAATACAGGGTGTCCATAAAGTCTCTTTACAATTTCAAAAATTTACTACAAAGGCAAATGAGAAGACAGATAAGCGGAAATTATTACAAAATGAGACGTATATATTTAAGTTTTCTCACACTCCTATGTGAACACCATTAATTGCACGAAGCACATCAAGATGGTACTTTATTTCTTACACCATCGATGTTTTCCTCAGATATTCTTGGTCGTCCACTCCTCCCTTTATCGAACACTGTCTCCATAAATTTCTTATGACATGCACGAATTAATGGACGTGACGGTGGATCTCTTCCATACTTAGTTTTGAAGTTTCGCTTTGAAGTCTGCAGATCCGATTTGGATAAACCATGACACACACTGTGCCTTCTCTTGAGGAATAGTCATTTTGTAAGGGGTTCATTTAACAGTATCTTATTTATTACCTGAAATTGAATGTGATAAAAATTGAATGTGATCAAAACCTTGATGAAATTGAATATGATAAAAACCTTGATAACAACCGAATACACAGAACAAATCTGATGAAGATATCTCATCAAGTGCCTTTGTAATAAATTTTTGAAATTGTAAAGAGACTTCATGAACACCCGCATGGGGTTATGTTAAAGATATCGTGTATCGAACAAAGGTACGGAACATCACTAATCTAAAGCAGAGGATTACTGATGCCATTGACACCATTGATGAGGGTATGCAACAGCGAACATGGCAAAAACTCGAGTATCGTCTTGATGTGCTTCGTAAAACTAATGGTGCCCATATAGAGATGTATTAAATGAGGCAGAAAAAAACTTAAATATATACGTCTCATTTTTTAATAATTTCCACTTATCTGTCTTTTCATTTGCTTTTGTAATAAATTTTTGAAATCGTAAAGGGACTTTATAGACATCTGGTATGTAATATAATACCAATTATATTGGTTTATTAAGTGTTTCAAGAGTATAGTTGTAATATATTTACATTTGTTGTTTTGGTCAATATTATACGTGGCGTATATCATAAACAACCTTTATTGTAATCGTTCTTATTATTTTTACTTAGAGTGAAGAGCATAATTGAAAAATTGTCGACACTTTAAACTGTTATAACTTCATAAAAAGTCAATAATCAACAATAATCTGTTTGGTCTCACCTTAAAGTGTAAAACCTCTATTTTAACAGTCACGAGTTCTTTTTTTTTTTTTTTTTTTTTACAAAAATGATTCTACACTATGCAACGAATAGGAAAGTGAGAGAACTTTTCTCTTGAAAATTGTGGAAATTCAAACGTGTGTAAAAACATTAATAAATTTTGTTTCATAGTTAGATCCATCATTATTTTGAAGATTGTAGTTTCTTCTCTATAAAGATCCCTTAAAACTTGTATATGATTTTTTTTTCATTCTACTGAACTTTAATAACATTAAAGTTTATAAAATTATTTATTTTTATTTAAATAATATTGAAAAGAATTAAAAATTACGTCATCTAATTCCAATGTTCAAAGTTCAATAAAATAGTAAAAAGAAAAATCATACAGCAAGTTTCAAGGGGTTGTTATAGAGAAAAAAAATTTCAATTTTGAAGATTATATGCATATTGCATACTTACAAAAATTACTAACACGTATATTCACTACTTTCACATGGTGATAAAAACTTTCTTTTCCTTTTCATCTCTTTAACCCTTATTTATCTATTCTGAATTGTCAACACCTAAATAATAATAAAAAAAAATTAATTTCAATAAAAAAATGATTCAGAAGCCAAAGGATTGCAATATTCGAGGTCAATTTATGTTGTTGTACATACATTGAATGTATTTTTTCATTCGTTGGATGATATAACAGAAAAAAATATACAATTATATATATAAAAAAAAACTGTGAAAGAAAACATAATTATTGCAGGATATTGCTTCAAAAATATTAAAATATAAATGTAAAATATATTGATAAATATAATATAGTAATAATTAATAAAAATAATACATAATTATTTATTAATAAGTAAATATAATATATTAATCAATAAAATAATATATAACATAATACTTTGCTTTATAATTTAAAATAGAAAATATTCAAATTACGTAGAAAATATTTTTTGTTGTCATTGCAACAAACCACCCTAATATAATGCCTGCAATTTACTCTCCTTTTAATCCAAACTCCTTTCAAAAAATTCATTTTTTGTTACTTTTAAACATGCTTAGATCCGTATGAAATTGTTTTGCTCTGCACGATCGAAAAACATCGTTTACTTTTAGTGTTGGAATTAAATTCGATGCCAAATGATGAAGCTTCCGACGAGACATCAATCGCAGAAGATCGAAGTTCAAATTGATCGTTGACAGTCAGCAAAATCCCAGGGGACAATTTTTTTATCCCACCACTGACGAGATATCTTGCAACACAATATCGTTCGAGATAGCACATATGTATGTTTCGAAAGCTCTGGTTCGAAGAAAGATCAATACACAAAATCGCATTAGGATATTATATCACAGATCACTTTCAGGCACGATTCTATTCACTTTTCTCGCGTATAACATAATTTAGACAGAATGAAGCGACATGTAACGTTATGACACAATTTTTACGAAAAGTAATTAGTTCTCTAACATAAATTATGCTCTTTACACAAATATATGTGTTTTGTCATGTGATCGAACAAGAAGGAACGCTAAGCGAATTTTTCTTCGAATCAGACCTCTCGTCACGTGAGATATCTCGTCCCATAACATCGAATGAACGATATTGAGTCGAGGAATAATTCGTTGGCATCATACGAAGGATATTGTTACAATGATATCGCGCTTGAGTTGTGAAACAGTTACGATACAAAAGTTCGCACGGAGTGACGCATTAATAGATACGAGTTTCTGTGTGAGGAAACAATTGTCGACTCAATTTGAAAGTTAAATTATGATTTATGCGTCATCAGAAGCTATCGTTTGATGTGAAAATTCAATTCTAAAGTCGAAGTAAAAACAAACAATGGATCGATTTGTTATTCGATGTGACTGACGTCTTATCGTTAGGCTGCGTATATTTGTGAAGATAATTTCAAAAATAGGACTCGGACAAATTTTTGTGAAGATAATTTAAAAAATAGGACTTAGGCAAATTTTTGTGAAGATAATTTAAAAAATAGGACTCGGACAAATTTTTGTGAAGATAATTTAAAGAATAGGACTCGGGCAAATTTTTATGAAGATAATTTAAAAAATAGAACTCAGGAAAATTTTTGTGAAGATAATTTAAATAGGTAATAATAAGACTTAGGTAAATTTTTGTGAAGATAATTTAAAAAATAGAATTCGGGAAAATTTTTATGAAGATAATTTAAAAAATAGGACTCGGGCAAATTTTTATGAAGATAATTTAAAAAATAGGACTCGGGCAAATTTTTATGAAGATAATTTAAAAAATAGGACTTAGACAAATTTTTGTGAAGATAATTTAAAGAATAGAACTCAGGAAAATTTTTGTGAAGATAATTTAAATAGGTAATAATAAGACTTAGGTAAATTTTTGTGAAGATAATTTAAAAAATAGGACTCGGGCAAATTTTTATGAAGATAATTTAAAAAATAGGACTCGGACAAATTTTTATGAAGATAATTTAAAAAACAGGACTTAGGCAAATTTTTGTGAAGATAATTTAAATAGGTAATAATAGGACTTAGATAAATTTTTGTGAAGATAATTTAAAAAATAGAACTCAGGCAAATTTTTGTGAAAATAATTTAAAAAATAGATTTGGCTATTTAAAAATTGACGTATTAAAAAAAATATTACATCTACTATATTTACTTTATTTACAATATGTATTACTATATTACAGATATTTTACACATTTTCCTGTATTATGTGCCGTATTTTATCTTCAAATGCATAAAAATCCCCGCAGTCTACTCGTCAGAAGTTTAAAGTTACAAGATCCCCCAGTCAATTTTCACGAGATTCAGTATTTTCACTATGGTCTGAAAGCGTGTGACTAAACTTTCAGGTTACCAGAGAAGGAGAACTGTTGCCATTCTTCCAAACGGAACTGAAAGTGGGCGGCGATGGCGAGGAGGACAAGATACTCTTTATTTGGCCAACGACAATCGTTCACAAGATTGACGAACAGTCACCCCTTTATCATATATCAGCCAGCGACATGCTCAGGGAACGATTCGAAATCGTGGTGATATTGGAAGGTAACTTTACATACAGGATGTTCCCAGATGAAAGTATAAAAGGAAATTCATCCATTTGAAGCTCCGTTTCTAGAGAAAATTCTTGTATTTGAAGAAAATAGTACCGTGCATAATTACTTGGACACTTCTCAATTAAATACAAAGTGAATTTCTTTCTTTCAAACGAATCTCTTTAATTTAATTGTAACATACAGACAGACAGTTTCATGTAAATTATATAACAAATATGTATCTCCGTTGTTTTTGGAGATATGAAAAAATCTTAACAGAGATTATTCAGTGCAGATACTCCCACGATAATGCGGTAATGATTTTTCCATCGGTTTCGTTCCATTTTAAAAATATTTCGACGTCATCTCTATGTTTGCGCTGGCAACTGATTGCGGACCATAACGAGTGACCAAAGAAATTCGTCGCTTTTTTTTTTGAACTCGTCGGTACGATATCACTGGATAGAAATTATTGAGAAGTGATAAATTTATTATTTGTTTTGCCTATTTTGTTTCACCTAAATATACTTAAAACTGAGAAAATATTAAATAAATTTTTGAACAAAAAATTCTCGATGTGCGTGGCACGTCATTCCAGCGCAAGAGGTTAAATAGAATATGTTTTTTTATCAATTAATCGATGCAGATCAAGTATTAACTATAGTTATATTATTGTATTATATATAATTATTATCGTATATAATATAATTATTATATCATACATAATACATTAAGTATTAACTATGTATATCAAAAAATTATTAGTTAAAAAGGTATTTTAACTTTAATTCTAATAAAATTGATCGTATGAATGACAAGAAAAGACAAGTATTCTTGTGTTTACAACTGTCTTACGTTGTAATTATGTGTATAATTATAAAAATAATTATTTTTACAGAGTGACTTTAACTGTCTGTTCATTGTTGAAATATATGTTTTCAATCACACTGGAAAAATCTGTATATATTTCATGAAACATTTGCTATTTGTTAAAAATAAATTTGAAAATGCAGAGGAAGATACGGCAGAAAGATATTCGTCAATTGTAACTGTCGAATCGTAAAAAATGTATCAATGTTTTTAACGATATTAATTGTTCAATTATTTATGCATGGCACTTAATTAATTTCGATTGAAAACGGATAGGTAATCAATAAAAGACATATAATTCATAATTCGTCGAACACTTGGTTATTTTGAACAGAATGATTATTACAATATTAATATAGCTCTCCCTCATGATTTTGTTATTTAATTTTATTATACTGCGTTTATACAGTTAACAATATCTTGATGAAAAATTAACAATATGTGTACATACGTAATTTAAATAAATTGTTATCTATTGACGTGATCCAAAATTTGATATCTAACTATGACTTATTTATTTATTTATTTTATTTAAAATGGAAATTGAAGAAATTTAAAAGAAAGAACGATATGCAATCACACAATATTGTGTAAAGGTTAATAATTAATAAGTTTCTACAAATTATTTAGGGTTTAGAAAACAGTAATAACACGATAAGATTATAGCATGGCTTTCGCAGTCATTTTCATTTTTATAAGTATCCGGCGATTTTATTGTTACAATCATCATAATAAGAATAATTAAATTAAATGTATAATGAAATAACTTGAAAATCTGGAAAATCTTTCTTTTCTGAGGAAAACGAATTTAAAAATTTATCAAATACGCTGAATGATTTTCAATTGATAAAATCCTAGTTTCTTGAAAGGGAAGATTCTTCCATGTAAAATCATCTTGCACCATTAATTACGAAATACACTTAATGTCTCGAGAAGTCAAACAAACTACAATTTCACATTAATTTCAGGCGTTATCGAATCAACTGGCATGACAACTCAAGCCAGAAGCTCCTATCTGCCGTCTGAAATTTTATGGGGGCACAGATTCGAGCACATAATCACGTTCAAGAAGGAGACTGGAGAATACGAAGTAAACTACACGTTGTTCAACAACACCTACGAAGTTGATACGCCATTATGTTCAGCGGCTGATCTGGACAAAATCAGAGCGATGCAACGGGCGAAAGGAGGTACGAGCGAGCTCGGAGAAAGTTTTAACAAGCGTAGATTTCCAGGCTCATTAGACAGTTCATTAAAAGATCAAAGCTCTTCGAAGCGTCGTCCCTTAAAATTAGACTGCGGATTTTTATGCGAAAATTCATCTATTTGTTCGAATCGAGTACGAATTATAAATCTCATTGATTAATTAATTATTAATGATTGAGAAATTCATTTTTACAAGAACTGAAAACAATCTAATGGAAACTGCTTTGCCTTTCATAATTTTTAATTTCTTTTTCTTTTTTTATTAAGAGGCCAGCAGCTCAATAGATTTAAAATATAAAATTATATTTCAAATTTATTTAATTTTAATTTTTCAATTTTACTTAATTTATTTAATTATTTTAATTTTCAAATTTAAAATTAAATATAAAAAATGTATAAAACAATATATATGAAATATGTGAAATATCCAAACTATAACGTGTTTTCGTTATAATTAGAATGTGGATGTTACGTATTTTTATATTTTTGCGAAAATGATCTTAAAAATTGGAACCTAGATAGAAAATTAATTTACTTATTATTTACTCATCGAGAAGAATTATATTTTACATACTATACATATTTTTTTATGTTATTTGTATTTTTCCAAATCCTTCTAAATGCATAAAAATTCGCCATCTAATTATAGTAATAGGTGAAAGAAATTTGTGCTCTGATTCTATTTCTTTAATCGTGCGCCGACTGTGAAATGTGATTGACCTCTCGTTAACATGAATCAAGTTTATTGAATCTGCCCGCGATAGTGTCCGCGACACGAGACGCATTTCGCGATGCAAACTATTTTTCATGCATCGTATACGTTGTGCCTTTTGTTAACGATCGAATATCTGGCACTTCACTTTCCGACGAGTGCCAATTGTTCAAACCTTGAACCAAGAAAAGATCCCAGTTGTAGTCTCGCTATACGTTGGACTATTAATTATTAATTTTAATTCCCTTATTTAATTTTCATTAATTTATATATAAAGAATTTTTTATTAATTTTATTTTATTTATAATAAATTTATATTTATTAAATAAAATAATTTTTAATAAATTATATATAAAATATTAATTTAATTAATAATTCAACCATAATTACATTTTATTTTTTATATTCTTATTATCTTATATCTTAAAAATAATTAAGTAAAGTTTTATATAATTTATATAAAATAAATTTATATATTAAAATAAATTAAATTAATTACTAATAATAATAAATTATTTCGACAAAAATCATCTTACAATTAAATCGAAGATGCCAGCCTTATCGAAAGAGTTAAAATTAGCAATAATTTTTAATAATTTATCGCAGGAATTTTGTGGATCTGCAATCTTTAGAGATTTGAATGATCTTTTGCTAAAACTTGGATTGACAATTTATCAATTTCAACATTAAGATAACCAAAGTAGCTAAAATTTCCAATTTATTTTATAATATATAATAAATAATTAATTATAAATAATTATAATTAATTAATTACATATAATTAATAAAATTATTATATAATAATTAATATATATGAAATAATTAATAATAAATATATATTTCCTAATAAATTTTAGTAGGCCTAAAATGATGGAATTTAAACAACTTTATTGACAATTTCAAATCATTTTGTCACTTACGTTTATATAAAATTCTTTTGTTGATTTTGTCATATACTGAAATTAATGTATTCATTTCCTGTTTCTACGGATCTTTAAATTTTTGATTTCCAGAAAAATATCCAGTCAATCTATGTTTATGACCAAAGCTTGTTTCCTTCTTATACCTACTTATTTTAATTTCCTTGACGTAAGTTTTTATATTTTAATCGTCATTACAATAGTTCTAACAATAAATCTTATTTCATGATTTTTTGCTTTAAATATATCGTATTGGAGGAAAAGAATATTTCAGAAACTTTTCATGTATAAAAGGCTCAAACAGAATGATTGCTGCTAAATTCCATCAGAAGTATTAGTTTCTAATATTAAGTACGTTTGCACTGATGATTAAAAGTTTTATGATAATCAATCGTTTGACTAAAAAATCATTTATCACAGACCTATCAATTGACTTCAATGAAACTTGATTCATTCTCACGAAGCCAGCAATTCTTAGTACACACTATATACTCTGGTGAATGGACAGAACAGTATAAGTCAAATTCTAATTAAAATAATATAAGTCATCGTTATCAAACATATTTTTTGTTAATATGTTTCACGCTCAAAATTTAACATTTCATTTTTACAATGCAATTTAAGTTTAAATGTTACAGGCGCTTTTCTGTGAAATTAATTCTGACATATACTTCTTTGCATATACAGGATGGTCCACGCAACGTGTGCACCTCCCATAACTTCTCCAAACTATGCGTTGCACAAAAAACTTTTGCACACAAAGGTTGCATGGTTTAAAGGGGTACACTATATAGTGCATTTATGTTTTCTATAAGTGGAGGTGTAAAGATTTGAAAGTCAACTTTGTTTTTTTAAATGGAATACTAAATTTTTTATATAAAAATATGGAAGAATGTCGAATTTTAAGTAAAAATGTATCTAATAGCTAACGAGTAATTTCACTTTATTTCTTGAAAATTTTCTTCACGTTTATAGCGATTCAAGTGAAATTAGGTTTAGGGCTAATAAAGGTCAATACTTTTTTACTCAGAATTCGATATTCTTCCATATTTTGATATAAATTTAAAGATTTGATAAATTTGATAAAAGTTTAAAGATTCCATTTAAAGAAAACAAAGTTGACCTTCAAATCTCCGAAACGCCTCCACCTATAGAAAACATAAACGCACTACGTAGTGTACCTCTTTAAACCATGCAACTTTTGTATACAAAATTTTTTTGTGCAACGCAGAGTTCGGAAGTTATAGAAGGTGCACAAATTGCGTGGACCACCCTGTATATGAACGTCATAATTTATTTCTCAAATTAATTTTGAATTCCCTTATTTTAGAACGTATGAGCAGTAGCGGGTTCACTCATTACCGCGATGCATCGAGCAGTTCTCTGACTACCGGATCCGGTTCCAGTCTAGCGTCGTCCACAGGCGGATTGCACATGAACGTGCCAATGACGCCGCTCACTCCGATCCCAGTTATGATCACCGGCCCTGACGGTTCTCTCAGACGTGAGAGCATGCAAAGCATGCAAACTGACGTGAAACAGCCGATATTTTACACGCAAAACGAGGTACTAAACACGTATAACCTCTGGCCACTGACTTAACCTATTACGCTGGCAACTGGTTCGCGGACCATAACGAGTGACCAAACCGTATACAATAATTCGTTGCTTTCTTTTTCTTTTGATCTCGGCGGTATGATATCACTGGATAGAAATTATTGAGAAGTAATAAATTTATTATTTGTTTTGCCTATTTTGTTTTTACTTAAATATACTTAAAACTGAGAAAATGTTGCAATTTTGGAATAAAAAATTCTCAATGTGCGTCATTCCAGCGCAAGAGGTTAACCCCTCACAAGCAAGAACATTAACGGGCTATCATCTAACTTTTGGCCTTTATTCTGGCTATCAAAAAACTTTCTTAAGTTACCTTAATTCAGTAAATTTTTATTGTATTATACAATGAATCTCCAAGATTTTTCAATAAGAATTAAAATTTATTTCAAAAGAATTCACGAATAAAATTACGCTTAGAATTCAAATAACTTGTAGGCCGTAAATTACTTATGAATGATTACGACTATAATTTTCAATATCTTGTGAGTTTTCAGTAAAATTGAAGAGTCAAATATACACATTAACAGCTGTATTTCTTTCCTTTGCTTTCATTACGGCATGCACTTTTTTCAATATACTCCACATACACTGCTTTATCAGTTCTACTTTTTCTTTTCAGTTTTTTTTTTACAATAACAAATGTTGCATTCTTTCTACATATACATATACATATTGTAATATATATATAAACATTCGCTCAGGGTTCAATCATTTGTCACGTATGATAATACTCAGTATATGATAATACACAAATTATTAACCTTTGACTGGTATCGTTGAATTATTGGAGGCAACAACAATTTAAATCAGTCGATTTTTTAACTTATTTTATTTTATTTCATTTGCTAGTCTTTACTAGTCTTTATTATGGAGAGTATAAAATACTAAATAAAATGAAATATCGTAAATTTATCGGTGTAACTTACTATTACTAAATTACTAAATTACCATAGTCACATAATCTATTACAGTCTTATTATAATCTATTATAGTCTATAATCCATCTATAGTAATCTAAATTACTATAGTCATATAATCTAATTCCTAAATTACTATGTTCATGTAATCTAAATATTATAGTCCATATAACCCAACAATCGATGACGAATCGATTCAGTGTATATCGGTCGATTCGGTATATATAATATTTTTTACTCAAAATAACTTTCCAAACACATTAACAGAGTCTGACGGTTAAGATCTGGAAAAACGTGTAAGAGATAATATGTGTGTAATATAATAAATATAATATAATAATAATATAATAAATAATTAAAAAATATCGTGCGTTTTTCTAGAATTTGCTGCCACAATTTATTATAACAAGTAATAACTAGCAGAATCCAAATTCTGTATGTATGTCACATAGCATAAATTATGTGATTTTAACCAAGTATGTGCTTCTGTATTATAATTTTTTTCCAGCGACTCTTTATCTCTTTTTTACAATAAATTACACGATCATGTACAATAGATGATTTACTAGTAAAGCAGATATTAAAGCGGATATTGCTGAATTTTTTATTTCTAAAGATAGAAGTTTTATAAAAGCAGAATCTTGCGAGCTTGTATGCAGAGTTTAAATGAAATTTCTACAATTAAAAGCTATTTATTCAACTTTTAACTTTTATATCGTTTCTTTCCGGTTTTAACTTTTTAGTTGTTTTAAAAGACAGAGCTTGTAAAAGAATTAAGGTGTTAATATAAGCTCTTTTGTATATTTAATTAATAAAAGTTCTAGAAGGTATACTTTCGGCCTAGATATTTAAGGGTAAAATATAAAAATTAAAAATTCTTTTAATTGGCACAATTTAAGGAATTAAATACAGAGTAAATAATTTTTTTTCACAAAAGACCATTCCAATTAAAAGACAATCCCAGAAAATCTGCTTGCCACAATATTAACAATATTAACTTTTTCATAGCAGAATAAATGTTTCTGTTTAACTAAACTTTTTTCAAGATAATAAAAGTTTCTTATTCACACAAAAATATACAAAAGTTTCAATTAATACATCAACTAGAAGTTAATAGATTGCATTGTATAACAGTTTTTTCCGGAACAAAAATAATAACAATCATAAAATGACAATTATTTCATAATTAATTAAAAATTTTAACAGTTTCGTTCAACCTCTGCTTATGTGTATTTGGAAAATCGTTGTGAATTGTGGAAGTATTTACTTTAATAAATAAAAATTTTTATAAATGTTTTTGTACTTAATTCTTATTCTGAGAAGCACGAACTTTTTTGATTATCTAATATTTGAATTCAATTTCGTCCAAATCTTTTAATTTTACCGAAAACATATAAAATTTTGTACATTCTGAATGATCTTGATATAATGGATTTTTATTAGTTATTTTATAATTATTAGATTGCTACATGTAATGTGCCTTCATTTCTCTAACTTTTAAGTAGACATTGAAATTTACACGACTGTTCGCTAATATTTATTACGTTTATTAGGTACATACAGTTGCGGATGAACGTTCAAGACGACTATACATCTTCTTGATAGATTATCGCACTATATTATGAATAGTACATAACTTTCATTCATACGTACACTCACATTTTATTTATGATCGATCGTACATTCAATGTGTACTTGGAATAATAACAGTGAAACTTGTATTTATTTTCTGCAGACATTAGTCTAATCCTTCGAGCTCCGGAAAGATTATTTTTCGTTAAAATACTTTTTTATTATTATTATAATGTGGAATTAGAATTTATGATTAGGAACGTTTGCATTGACAGAACTTTCAAGATATTGGTTCACGGATTGGCTAAATTATTTCCAGATCATTCTGAGATTGAAAAAGTTTAAATGTTATGAAAACTAATTTATTCAGAGAAAGAGGAAACTGAGATATAAAAATCATAATCGAAAATGTTGATTAGCACGATAGATTTTGAAATATTCAGGAATGCATAAAGTTATATTGCACTGCTCGCATCCTGTTTTAACTTCAATGACGCCAGTATGGCAATTTCCGCAGTCAAAGTATTAAATATAAATGTTATGTAAATAATAATGACGTCTGTAAAAATAAAATTTATGACTTGTTTTTGATTAAAAAGTAAAAAATGAAAAATAAAAACAGGTGTGCATATTATAAACTATTAGTAAAAAGTTGTTAAGGAAAGAAATCATCAATAACGAAAAATATATATCAAAAAATGATTAATTTAATAATTTATGCTTTTATTTTATACTTTAATTTTATAAATTAATTTAACTTTGCAAATTAATTTACAAATTAACTTTGCACGTTAACTTTAATTTTCTAAACTAATAATTTTTTAAACTAATTTAAACTGATAAATTTTTTAAACTAATATGTAATGTACGAGAATATCGAACAGTATTGATTAGTGAATCAAAAAATATATAATCACATCTAAAGAAAATAGTAATGACCTCGAAATCTTCAAAACGAAACTTACAAATAAAGTCATTATTATTCCATTATTGTATTTTTTTTGTACCGAATAGTTTAAAAATTGAAATATTTTCAATTTTTTGTGCAGTTTCTGGACAATGATCCACACGCTTTAAACCATCATGCACAAGAGGAAGAAGATTACGATCGCGTACTAGAAGACATAAACGCGTCCTTGAGAAAGAGTCGAGGATGCAACAAAGAGGACAAGAAAATACACAGAGAACCGTCCAAGTGTACCTTAGATTCTAGGAAAAGCGAGTCCAGAGACGTAATAAGAAGATCCGGTTCTAGAACAGCGATGGATCAAATTCCAGTCATCAACCCCCCGCCAAGATCACCCTCGCGACAGCATTTAGATACCAGGTACCCTAAACTTATCTCTTCGTATCGCAGTTCCAAAAAAAAAAAGAAATTTAAAGTCTCCATTTAATTACAGAAACGATGCTAATCTGTGTTTGATCTATTCAGACATAGCAAGTTCGTAGAACCCTTGGAAACCTCGTATCGAGAACCTCTGCCTCATCCACTTTCGTCTTCGAGAACATCCAGCCTAGGAGAGAATCAGAAGGGCTTGCAGAAAAAGACCAGCTTCGTTTTAGGCGACGAGGAACACCACGTGTTAAATATGGAGCTAACGAAGGTGCCGCCAGTTCCAGAGGTGTTGGACGTTGATTCATCCAAGGCGAATCATCATCCTAAGAACACTCTTGGTCTTCCTCAGGAACAAGTGTAGGTAAGCAAATGTGGATCATCATAATTAACGCAAATATTGATATGTTTATATATTTATGATATTACATATAATATTATATTATAATAATATTATATAATATTATATTAATTACATATAATATAATATTACATATGTATAGTATTATATTACATATTTATTAGATGTGTATAATATTATATCACATATTAATTACATATAATATAATATTACATAATGTGTAATATTCTGGATAATTTTACATGTAATATTGTATGTAATTTTGTAAATATGTACATATGTACATTGTATATAGATATTTATTTGTATATTTGGTATTTGGTATTTGTATATATGTATATGGTATATGGTATTTGTAAATTTTATAATTTACTATATTAATAATTTATATTAATAATTTATATATAATAATTATTATTTACATTATATTTATAAATTTATAACACTATAAATATATATTTATATTATATAATATATGTAATATATTCAAATGTGATGTATCCCAGCTGATTATTAGCCACTTATGTTTTTCTTATTTTTAATGTTATGAAAAATATTTTTAGTTATAATTCAAAACATTTACAAAGAAAAATATCGTGGAAGAAAAAGTTTTTTGTTGACTAATTGTCTTTAATCTGTTTTGAGATCGTCATTTTTTTTATCTAGATAGCATGTAGTTTTTCTGTTCGCATTTTGTAGTAGACGAAACAATACAAATACGCCTAATTGTCGTGATCTTCACATGATCCTGATCACACATTGAGATAAATGAATTGGTCCCTGTTTTATTAACATATCATTAAATGGTAAAAAACACGCGAAAATTTTGTCGAGTGATCTGAAAGAATTGTTGAGAAATGAATCAATGAATGACGTATATACGAATACACGTGATGTCAGTACATGTGTGTCATTGTCGAATTTGCAGCTCGTCAAATGTTACAATAGAAAATTCTTAAATCGTTGAACTGGATGTAATTTTTCTTTTGAGAAAACTAGAGTAAGAAGTTTACCAACAGCAACCACTTCAGAAGACATTTTTTGCTAGTCCACCAAATAGTAAAAATAATAAATAATAATAGTAAAAATAATAAATAATAATAGTAAAAATAATAAATAATAATAGTAAAAATATTAATATATTAATAATATTAATATAGTCAGTGATTATTCGAACATTACTTCAAATGTTTAACATCATAAATATCATCAATATCAATAACATCAATAACATCATATATCTTGACATTGGCTTATTTTTTAATTATGATCACGTGATAAATGTCATGATTCAGGCATATTCAAATGTACTTTTTTGTTTGTTACATAGTATAATACGCTTCCTAAATGTAAAATGATGATGATTCTGAAAAAAATAATTCCAAAACAATTCTTATTCCTTCTATGATTTTTAATATTTCTGTAATTTGCAATCATTTATAAATTATATTATTATAAAAACTAGGTGGTACAATTAAAAATAAAATTTCAGACCTTCAAAGATCAATATTGGTATACTAAGTAGCTCCAAAGAGTTAAATCGTAACGAAAAACATTTTTCGTAATATAAAAATAAATTAGATATTTAGTTTTCGCTCTTGCATGTAGATTAATTCTAGTTAGATTAATTATTTTTGACGTTGAATTTTATGAATTCAAATTACAATATCTTATAAACTGAAATATCTATGTTGGTTTTAGTTCAACCAATAATTTTAGCCATCGATTTTCATAAATTCAAACTATAAATTAAAATGTTCATAACTGAAAACTAGATTCTCAATTGATGATCTACAATCTATACTTTGAATATTATTATTGACCGCAAAGATTAAAAATTAGTGACTCCATTAATCTTTTGAGTCTGTACTAGAATATTGTGCGTACAGATAATTTTTTAATCAACAATAAAATAATTGGTTCACTTAGAAGTTCAAAGAGTACAACATATTGAATAAATATCAAGAGATACACGTTTAAAGATAAATGCATTCTTAATTTGTTACATGTTCCCTATACAGTATTTTTTGGGTAATTTTAAGCACTCGGAGGATTAATTTTACAAAGTCTTTTTACAGATGTAATTTCTGGACGCTATACACTTTTATCAAATACAAGAAGCAATCGTTTGAAAATTTTAGAATAGAATGCTCCTTTAAACGGTGGAATTGCATTAAAATCAATCGACGATCCCCTCGTTCATTTACTATTCCATTCGCATATATACCATTTGCGTCAGCAGGCTCAGAGGGAGGCGAAAAGAGCAGAAAATCTCTGGCATCTAATTGACTGGATTTCCGTTTCGCTATCGATGAGCCACGAGACCTAAAATGAGCCAGAAGCTTTAAATTTCGCTAAATTGCCTTAGAGGAAGATCAATTACTTGCCGGACGATTTGCAACGATCGTGCCCTCTTAAAACAACTTGACTTCACCGTACACTGAGCTTCTAAATTGTCCTAAATGGAGCACAAAGACGTCATGCCGCGTAGTTTTCATACATATGCGCTGTTGGCTTTAAGTTCAACTAACTAAGAGCCATTACACGATATACACTGTCGACCAGTTGACAAAAAACCCGGCGACCATATTCAGCGACTTAAAAGTTTGATGACCAAACTTGGTGACTAAATTCGACAATCAAACTCGGCCATCAAAGCTCATTATAGCTTCTTAATACATCTAGTTTGTCGAAAAATTGCCTATCGTATGAACACTTGCATTTGATTCAATACATTTTGTTTGTCACGACCAATGTCGTAAAAGAATAATTGAAATAGTAAATAATAAATATATATAATATATTGTAAAAATACTATTTGAAATAGTAAATATATATAGTATAGTATATTGTAAATATACTACATATTAAATATATTGTAAATGTGTAAGGTTCACGACTGAATAAAATACTATTTGAAATAGTAAATAATAAATATATATAGTATATTGTAAAAATGCTATTTGAAATAGTAAATAGTAAATATATTGTATATGAAATATATTGTAAATTTCAAGACTGGATAAAATACTATTTTATATATATAGTATATTTTAAAGAATACATATAACTTGGAGAATAAAATATATATAGTACAGAAATATATATAGTATATTTTAAAGAATACATATAACTTGGAAAATAAAATATTTTATTTGATACAAAATAAGGCTTCAAAATAGTATTTGAAAATAATATTTTTATTGAAGAGTATTGAAAGTATTTGGATTTTATCTTGAAATATTTTATTTATTTCTTTGCCCTTTTCTTTATGAGCATAAATAGTTCCCTAATCTCCTGATAGAAAATAGTGATACAATGGATGACTTTTCTATGTGCAAAAATAAAATAAAAGAATACAATAATATAGAATATATCTATTAAAGAAACATTAGATCAGTTCTCAGAGTTTTAAATCAACTTAAAAAGAAGCATTTGACATTATCAAAGATATTTTTTATCGCCATATTTATATTGTTCTTACTTTAATTTTTTTCAATCATGTCCCGATGATTTTCCGGAAATTATGTACCCCGGAAATTCTAAGATTTACATGAAAGAATAAATTGAAAAATCCACATTACTTATGCGACGGCCATTGCTTCAAACGAGATTAAAGTATTTTTTTTATGCCAGATTATTAAAATAAAATATTTTATTTTATCTTTTAAATTATTAAAGTGAAAATATTTTATTTTCAGATTATTATTTTAGTTTCAGACTATTAAAATGAAAATGTTATTTATTAAATCCTACAGCCCAACAAATAGAGTTTAGATATTAAATAGTATTTGAAATATTTCGCAAAACATTATTTGGATCTCTGGTAAGATCTTATATGTTATTTTACTCGATGAGCAATAGACTTAAGAAAATATGTATATGGAATTTTATTTACACATTTTGTCATTGAGTCGCCAACAACTATGAAAATACAAACAACTCATGAACGACTGTCCGTTGCCATAACAAATGAAATGTATTGAAACAAATGTAAACGTTTACATGATAAACAACTTTTTGGCAAACGTACTAAAAAACTATAGTGAGCTTTGACTGCTGAGTTTGTTTGCCGAGCTTGATCACAGGATTTTTGAAATTTTGTTTTTTAAATATTGCAACTGTGGAAGGGATTCGTTAAATATTCTTTGAGCATTACGTCTTCCATCTAGAATTTAATAATATTCACAAATTTAATAAAATTGAGGTATTTATAGTACGGTAAATTATTGCTTAATCTTTAATCGGTTGAATCATTGATTTATTTAAATCATAAGAATGACTCGAAGATGAGTAACAAACCTCCTCCTACGTTCATTACATTATTTTCAACCAAATCCGAAATTTGAAATCTCAGAACTACGTTTACCTAAACAAGATTGATGGCCATCATAAGATGTCGCCCTTAAAATAAAGTAAATTTTATTTACATATTTTCTATAATGAATAATTTAAAAGATAATCACGTAGCTCACTTCTAATGAGACACCCTGTATAACTAGTGCTTGATGTTAAGTTTAAACATATGTGCAGAAACACAATTGAACACATATAATTCCATTAAAGATTGATATTTCAATAGTTACGATTAACAATTTTCAAGTTTCATATTCCTGATAAATAGTTGATAAATACTTTATAAAATAAATAGTTATAAATACTTTATAAAATCTCTATAAATTTTTTCAACGTGGTTAAAAACACATTTCAATTGTTTTAAAATTTTAACAATCAACAAATTTTCAATTGATAAAATTTTAACATTCAACACATTTCAATTGTTTTAAAATTTTAACAATCAACAAATTTTACTACTTAAAATCACTATAAAATCTTCTATAAGTATTACAATTAATTATTATAATATTAGCTATTCTTTTTGTTAATATTTATTAACTATGTTAAGATTAGATATATGTTATATGTATATGTTAAAATTAAATTAAAGAGATTGAATTGTATTTTATAGTGTGACAATTTAAAGGTGTTTAAGTACTTATTCACAATAGTATATGTAAAAATTATCTAATTCAGAATTTAAATTGGGTTTATATCAGATTTTGCTTAAGTAATAAATAAATAAAATAATTATAATGGAATTCTATAATACATAATTATTGGAAAATTTTCGGTATTAAATTATGTAATAAAATATAAAAATATAATTACAAATTATATATATATTAATATATAATTTTTTATATATAATAGTTGTATCACTAATGAAACAAAAATTTCACTATGTATATAGTCGTCATAATGTTAGCTACAAGTGTGCTTTTTTCTACATTATTATCATACAGTTTCATATAAATAGTTTTTTCTTTCCTTTTTTAGCTCACTTAAATTATTCTAATATCATACATATCTAACAATAAGTTAAATTAGAATTTAAACCCAAAACATACAGTAGGTATGATGTATCAGAAATGTTTTTATACGTGTACAAGCAGTCATTGAGAATATTGATATTGATACTATATGTCATACATGTATCAAGGACATCAAAATCCGTGAGATATGCTTCTTTGTAAATAATTATTCTAAATTCACATATTCTTGTCAATTATGATATCATTACCATTATACATCAACAATAAATTAAATAATTAAATTATCAATCTCACAAATATGCATATACACAAATTCAAATCCCTCCAACATTCATTTAGCAATCGAAATACATATTCTTTAACTAGGAATTTCCAATATTAGATTGAATCCTCCAATTTTTTTTTATTTTTAATACACAGTAAAATAAGGAAAACATGTCTGTAATTGTAAATGATTGGAAATCTTCATCCTTTTTGATTTAGTTAAGCTTTAAAAGTTTATTCTATAGCATTCTAGAGTACTGTATAATCTTAATAAAATAATTATATATACGCACAATGTACACAGTACATTATACACGATATACAAATAGTCTTAAAAAATAAAATAATGAATAACTAATAATAAAATAATTGGTTTACTTGTTGGAGGTTCAAAAAGGATAACATATTGCAATGTATAGAATAAATAAATACACACGCGCGCGCGCGCGCGCGCGCACACACACACACACATATGTATATATATATATAGAGAGAGAGAGAGAGTATACATAGAATAAACATATCAAAAGATATATGTTTAAAGATGAGTGAATTCTTAATTTGTTATTCTCCTCATTCAGTATCAAACTTTTAGGCTTTTAGTAATTTCAAGCATTCAAGGGGTTCAAACAGAAGGAAATCGAGATACAAAAGTGCAATATATAGAGTAAATATATCAAAAGGTGTATGTTTAAAGATGAGTGAATTCTTAATTTGTTATTCTCCTCATTCAGTGTTAAACTTTTAGGCTTTTAGTAATTTCAAGCATTCAAAGGGTTCAAACAGAGAAGGAAATCGAGATACAAAAGTGCAATATATAAAATAAATATATCAAAAGGTGTATGTTTAAAGATGAGTGAATTCTCAATTTGTTATTCTCCTCATTCAGTATTAAACTTTTAGATTTTTAGTAATTTCAAGCATTCAAGGAATCATTTCAAACGGAAATGAAATTGAGATACAAAAGTTCCAGACACTGTCTAGCTTCTTTTGCTCCCTAGCTTCGTCTCTATCATTTACTCAGTATTCATTCACTGTCAGAGAAAGATTTGAATTGTATACAAATATACGATTTGTTTCGGCGAGGCAACCGATCAATACACGGTGTTGCTCTCTCGATGAGAACTGTAGACTTAAATTGAATGAAAGGGATAATTTCTTTTAGCCTATCGCCATTAAGATCGTTCTACCGTGTCATTTAACTGACGATTTCCGGGCTCGTTTAAACTCATCTCTTTGGTACAAATTCGCATCAACGAGCCGCGCACTGATCGTAATTTGTCATTTGTCTCGTATCTTAAAAAAAAAGCAGATGTCGAATTTTTCGACCTTTAGATAACGATATATTTTAGTAGTCAGAAACGAACATGTATTATGAGGAATAACGTACAATGACTCACGGAAGTATCGTAGAAAATTTGTATTTAATGCAGGGTGTCTCACGTAACATTTTTCACGATTTTTCAAGTACTTGTGATAATCTGACGAAAAAATATTTTAAACAAACGTTGATCAATTTTCGATTGGCTATACAGTGCGACAAAAGAAAATTTCAAAAAACTTTTTTTTTTTTTTTTTTTTTTTTTTTTCGATAATTGTCAAGGTCACCTTTGTTTTCTTAAATGGCACTTCATTTTTGACTTAATATTATTGTGACTTGTATCTAGACGAATTCAGTGACCTAGTATTACCATGACCTTCGGTTGATTTTGAAGGCAAAGAAATGAAAATTTCAACAAAAAATGACAATCAGCATGAATGGGTGACGGAAGTACAAAAATGCACACAATGCACGTAATATGCGAAAATATATAAAATATTTAAAGTATAATATATTTAACCCGATTTAACCATGGATATCCTTGGGATAGTTTTGTCGTGGATTTATTTTAATATAATTTTTCAAATTCTTCGAACACGCAAGATATCTCAACTAAATGAGGTCACAGGAATACCTATCTTATTTATCATTGTGTGAAAA